TAACATTATCAAAATCTCTGTAAGTAGGAGCTTGAATATAGGCAATACTGATTCTTAAGATTTGACACAATGGCCATTTTCCAGATGTAAAAGTTTAATGTCTTAAATTCAGTTAGATTGTGGGAGCTAGAAGTGGTAAACATTCCTGAGTACATGTTGCCACCCAGTGGATGAATGTGCATGATGCACAAATCATTTGCAAAGGAAAAGACAAAAAAGGTTAGGATCATGATGTCAACGTTAAAGTTTTGCTTATGTTCAGTGATAGCAGGTGTCACTTGGATCACACCTCTCCTTCAAAATGCTAGACCAGATTTTAACACACATTTTTCAAAGTATTTTGATAAACATTTTCAGAGGCTTTCAGCAATGAGAGAAAAATACTGAGTGTGCTTAACAGCACATTAGATACTAAAGTTTCATTAATGCTAATAAAACTTATGTTCATGAAAAAATTTCCAACAAAACAGCTCAGAAATACTTAGCTTGTAATAGAGAAGAAAGAGGGCTGTCAAAGCAGAGATTAGAGATTCAAATCTTGACTTCCCAGGGTGCTAAGAGCTTTGATATGAAGTCAGGGATGAATTACATTTTTGGCATAATAATTTTGAGTTTCCCTTTATCTGAAAGCAAATAAAGATTGATTAGATTAGGGATATGTAGAAACAATAGATGGAGTCATTTAAAATATGTACTGAGGCCATGTTTATATAGGGATTTCCCAGTGGTTCAAGTTGGAGGGGCACAGCAATATTCTTCTCTTGGGATAACTCAATTAGAATCTTCTGGTATTCTGCAGACAAGTCTAAACCTATATTCTGTGTTTCCTAAAAAGAGAAATAGAATTTATGCGATTGGAATGACATTGAAAATCTAAAGAAAACTAGTCTGGGGCCTTAGTTTTTGCAATGCAATGCTTATGAAATATCCAGCATAGAGGTTTATCCATCTGCTTTTGAACATCTCTCAATGGGGAACCCACTAACGTGTTCTCCTTTGTTGGGTCTGGAATTCCTCGATCTACTTCTACTTGTGAGCTAATAAATTAGTCTATCACTGTTTCACTGATGTTGGCAGAGGACGTGAGATGAATAATGAAAGATTTCATTATTCATAGTTAACAAGTAGGATACACATCATGTTCCAGTTAGTCTCCCTTACCCACCAAGTCCCATGTGGGCACCAAAGAGGGGCCTAGGTGCATCCTATGCACAAGGTAGGTCTTTGGCCTAGGTTAAAAATACTGAGCTTAGGGAATCCGCAGCTTTTATAAAAAGTGGTGAGCAAGTCTGCCTTTTCTCCAAAGTGGGATCTTAACATTTCCTTCAAGGTTGCTTGCTGCAAACACAACCCGGATAAATGGCCTGGGAAAAAAGAGCAGACAGGGCCTTGCTGGGTATTGAAGACCCCTGATGGACTGCCTTTCTCAATGTTCATACTAATCCAAAATCAGCCTTCCTATAATTTCCACAAATTTGTTGTTTTTCTTTTCCATCCTTTCAGCATTTTGTACTTCAAACATCTGCAGTGTGTCGTCCAAATGCCACTGAGACTTCTTTTCTCCAAGCTGTTCATTTCTAGTCCCTCTGACTGTTCCTCCCATAATCTGGCTTTGGGCCCCCTCACCATTAGTACTGGTTTCCTCTGACCTTGTTTAAGGTATATTTCCCCAAATGTACTCCAACTATGGTCTAATCAGTTTAGAGCAGGGTGGGAATACTGATTTGCTTATTCTAGAAGTCTACTTCTATATAGCAACCTGTGATCCCAAGAGCTTCTCTGGCCAGCCCATTAATTCTCACCGAAAACCCCTAACTTCTACCATTAAACTGATAATAAGCCACACACTTTTATTCTATTCTAGTCTATTCTTATATCAGAGGATGGAAGCTCCATGTAGTTTTTCATTATGAAGGAACCATCATACCAACCAGATTCCATTTAACATAATAGAAAATGTTAAAATAAGCTTATTATTTTGAGGTGGTTGCTAGCATAAAAATGTGGCTTCTTGTTGTCTCCTATTTTGTGGATTACAGACCTCCTCTATATACGTTGTTTGTTCTCTGTGTTAATATAAATGGAATACGACTTTCATACTCTTTGTTTAAGAATCCAGATTTCTGCTTTCTACCCACCACGCCCCACTCCATGCATGTACAAGAATGAGGTGACAATGTTCATCTTTTGCTTTAAAAAAGAAAACTGACATATATACATACTTTTTTCAAGAGTGAAAAAGAAATAAACAGCTTTGCAAAATAAATATTGGTCTCTAACATACATGATTCCCACAGCACGCATGCATCCTAAAGCAATATTTTAAAGTTTATATTGCTACATAAGTTGGAGACAGGAAAGTCTAATGATAAAGAATGGTAAAGAAACATAGATAAACAGTTTAAAACAGATTTCCATGAGAAATGTTCCTTCTTTAGAATGACTTTAATGTATCGTTTTATTAAATAAGTTCAACTAAATATTTAAGATATAAAAAGTACCTCATAAAAATTACAACACATATGCCTCAAAATTGTTTATTATCTTTAATAAGCTTTGTAGACTTTGTAGTGGATCCAGACTTTGTATTGAATCATTAAAGGATTTCTACCCCTCCCTCCCTTTTTTTCTTCTATAGATATTAGAATATTACATTGTGTTATTATCTTTGCTAAATACTAAAAATACGGAATAAGATATGGCCTCTACTCTGATGGAAGTTATGTTTAATAGTAGACAGGTAGACAGACCAATATTTAAAAATTGATACACTAAAGACTATAAAAGATGATATACAGGATGCTAGTGAGGACAGGAAAATGTTCCGGAAGAGGTGGCCCCTGATTTGAGTCTTAGAGAATGATTCTAAGTCAGAAGTCAGGTTGAGAACAGTCATCAACAGGTACAAAGCTAGAGACAAGAGAAAGCATGGCTGTAGAAGATCGTGGTAAGGCCTGCTGTGGACCCAATGACACAGAAAAAAAAGTGTTCATATTTTTAGCTGCAGCAAAACTTTCCTTATATGGCAGCAGTTAACCCTTTAAACATTTAACATGGCCGGCCGCTCACCTTGCCTAATGGAACAAAAGTTACTGAGCTTCTATCCATGGCCTGGCACACTACTCACTGTGTACACACAGTCATCCCTTGGTGTCCGGAGGGGACTGGTTCCAGGACTCCCTCGGATACCAAAATCCAGGAATGCTCATGTCCCTTATATAAAATCACACAGTATTTGTGTGTAAACTACGCACATATCATATACTTGAAAATCATCTTTAGATTACTTATAATAAATAATGTGAATAAGCTGTAAACAGTTGTTAAGTGCAAAGTAAATGTTATGTAGCTAGTTGCCAGAATGTGGCAAATTCAGGTTTTACTTTTTTGAAACTTTCTGGAATTGTTTTTTTCTCCCTGAGTATTTTCAACCCACAGTTGGTTGAATCCATGAATGTGGAACCCACAGATATGGAGGGCCAACTGTGCTAAACAGACAACTGAATTTTGGTCATATCTTCAAGAGGACCTAAGGAGACAGTAGAGTGCTGTACTCAATTCCTTAGATGTGTATTTTGTGTATGTCCTGGGTCCTGCTTCTTTGCTAATTAAGTAGAAAGTCTAAGTGAAAATAACCTTGAACCAAATTTGAGTTCTAGTCAGTCTTTGAGTACAAACCAACCTCTGTGGTCTAACCTATCTTAATGGCATATTCTAGGAAATGAAAAAAGTACAGAATGACTGGAATATAGGTGTAGAATGGGGAGTAGTGGAAATTGAAGCGGTGAGCAGGGCTGAGATCATGAAAGCACTTAGAAACTTTAGTGAGTAGGTCTTTATCTCAGAGACAGTGAAGAAGCCATAAAATAATTTTGAAGAATGTAATATGACCAGATTTGCATTTTAGGGCAATCTATAATGGCAGTGTAGGAAAGGATGCAATGAGGAAGCACTAGTTAGAAGGCTGCTCTAACCCTGCAAGTAAAAGATGATGATCTGAAAGGTCTGTGGCAGTTGAAATAGAGACACAGAAACGGATGGTAGATTTACAAAGTCGGTAGTGGTAGCGTGGGAAGGGAAAGGATGAAGAAAAGGAAGGCATTCCGAAACACTCTAGGGCTTCTATCCAGAAGGCAACTGCATGAGTAATGGTTTCATTCTCTGAGATAGAACACCAGAGGGGAGCAGGTTTTGGAGGGGAAATGATGAGTTAAGTGTAGAGGATGTTGCATTGGAGGGGCCCATAAAGTATGTTCAACAAACAACTCAATAATCAAGTCTGAATATGTAGTTAAAAGCAGAAAACTCAAAGAATGAAGTTATATGAAACATAGGTTACAGAAACAAGGATTATGGGGGCAAATACAACTCTAAAACACGTGCTTAAGGAAGCTGAAGGAATAAGGAAGCGCTGTGTTGCAAAACTAAGAATTAAGAAAATGGAGGATAATAAAAATTTAAAAGTCAAATGTCACCATGAACAAATCTGTTTTCTACAAATATTTCTCATGAAATAAGAGGACTCTTTCTATTATTGCTGTCAGAAAGGAACAGTGATATTTTGAACTACAGAATCTGCTAGAAATTTTAATTGTCTAATAAGATACAGTAACTGGTCACCCCAGCCTTCTGAGAATTAAGTAAAACAAAAAAGCCTGCTCCAGATACAGAAAGGACACAGCTCACCTCAGGCGCTTGGCACAAAGACACATGGAGTGTGATGTAAGCATTTTTTCTCTGCAAAGAAAATGCATCTAAGGAGAGGATGAAAAGTTTGTTTCCACACAACTGACTCATCCTGAGTCCAAACTAAATGCATTAATCTGGAGAAAGCAGTACTGGCAGATTTCTTTTCCTTCATTAAGCAATGACCTAACACAGAACAATGCACTTACAGCAGCTGTCTGATCTTTGAAATCACAAGTTTAAAAACACTGCCCACAGTGGATGTGGACGTGCTCTAGACCAGAGTGCGTATAAACACATACATTAAGCATAGGGACCATGCTTCCATTCTTTACTGCACAATTTACAAAATTTTTACAGCGAGAAATCTATGGTTCCACTGCATCCAATGTGATTTGTGTGAATTTACATGAGCTGGGGCAAAGGGATTACCTATCATATTTGACACTTGCATATTTCTTGTTTATCATTTAGCACACAGATCCATGTCTACACACACAGATAACCAAGCAGTGCTTTCTCTGAAGTACTGGACTTCCATAGATTGGTGGCATTCTCTAAGAGTTCATATAAAAAGCAGGATGGATACAGTGGAAGTGTAACTTTAGGACAACTGAGTGAAAACAAATACCAAATCCCACTTTGAGATATAAAATGATGTCATTCAAATGCCGCTGTCCTCTTATTTCCAGCTTCTGGATCCATGGGTATTATTTATGCTTTTGTCATGTGACACAGAGTGAGCTTCTTTGAATTTCCCCGCCAAAATCTACTTCCAGAAAAGAAGTTACTGGAGATTCTGCAGAAGTGAGACCCAGGTAGGTGAGGACTCCTAAATATGTTTATCTACTTGAAGCATAATAAGTTGCCTCTAAAGTAAGAGCAATGACCTTTAAATGCCCTTTTAAAAAATTTTGTACAAATAAATACAGGGATTAAGGTTGGTTCAACCTTACACCAAGGAACAGAGTAGTTACTTGTAGAAACACTACCTCCCAGTGGAAAAATCATTTTTTTCATTTACTTTATAAAGCAGTGGAGTGTATCATGTTTATTCAGTACACTATTCTTCAGAATTTAAATTTACAAGTAGGTAAATTTCAGTTTTAAATGTGATATTTTGGAGGTAATAGTCATGAACTCTTATCTGATTTACAAATTTAATTTTTCTTCTTAATAAAATGAAAACTTACATGCAGTTAACAGCAGTGCTTAGACTGAAAACAAAACTTATTAAAAATCATCAATGTGGGTACACCCTAAAAGTCCCAGAAACCTATATACAGATGCTTAAAAGTGATAGAGATCTTGTTGTGACAATAAGACATGACTACTTAACGACCTACATTCTGGTTCTGAGTTACTCAATCAATACTTTCCACTCAGTAAAATAGCACAGAGACAACTTTATATGCTCTGGCACAGGCAATCCAAAATCACAGATAGTCAAACATAATTTTTATTTGGTTGTGGAATATTTTGGTTCATAAAATGAAATATGGCTGCCTAATACCCTGCATTCAACAAAATAATGCACAGTGAAGAACTGGAAAATTATCAGTCTTTCTCAATGTGTGGAATTATTCCTTAATCTTTCTTGTTACCATTAAACAAAAGAATATTTTGTATGAGTTTGAAATTGCTATCCTATGATTTGTATTTCATGCCTTCCCTAAATTAGAAAAAATGAGGTATTTCATATAAATTTCACACTGAGCTATGAGTTGCATAGAACAATTAAACAAAGTATTAAGTTGTGACAACCTTACAACACATATCACAGTATTAAAATTGTTGGTTTATTGATGGTCATCTTTCACTGGATATTAAATCTTGAGGGCTACAACTAAATTTTTTAAACTGGAATACGTCAACAGAATTTTGACTGTATGAATATGTGATTTTAATAAAAAGTTGTAAAAATTTAATTTAGATAGCACCAATTAACTGTAAAATCTGAAATGAGTTGGAGGCACAACATGTGGGTTCAAATCTTGACTTTATCACAAATTACGTGATTTTACCCTCTACTGTAAAGAGACTCAGTTTTTCTCTCTGAATAAGAAGGTAACACCTGACTTATGCATTTCAGAGTAATGATAAAGGTAAAATCAGGTCATGGATATGAAAGTCCTTTATAAGTACCAAACAAATATAACTTTCTGCATATTCAGAAAAGACATACATATGAAATAAGAAATCTTGTTACGGTAGAACATGACCTTAATTTGTATTAAAAATATGTACCATATATACAATTCTTCCCAAATGAAAACAGCTTAACTCCTTTCTTCAGCCTACAAATACACTTAAAACTATTCATCCCCCCATAAAATGTATGTACATATACATACCCCTTCCTTCAAAATACCCTGGTGCTTTATTTTCTCTAGTAAATATTGGCAAAAAAGAGTCAGCACTGACGCATCCTCACCCTCAAAGCACTGAAATCTGGCTCCACCACCACTACCTGTAGAACAGCTTAATATGGTTAATCCATTGGCTTCTTCTCAGTCCTCATTTCACTTTCTTTCTGAAGATTTCTTTTTGAGCATCTCTCACATCTATGCTGGCTTCTTTCTTCAAAACGACTCTTCTCAATTTTTCTCTTCTAGGATTACTCTATTTTACTGGTTCAGCTTCTTGTTCTAAATGCAAGTGTTCTTATGAGGGTTCATCCTTGGGCTTCTTTTTTTCTCACCCTGTATTTCTGCCCAGATGATCCAGCCTACTTCAGCTGACTAAGGCATCGTCTCTGCAAAGCCAACTCCCAAATCTCCTCCCCCCACCCCCAGCTCTCTCGTAGGTTCCAGGTCTCTATTTCTAATTATTGACCACATATTTCCATCCAGGGGTATTTCAGTCTGTGTATCAACCTCATTATCCCTCCCACTTGTCCCAACCTCCTCCCCGTCTTTGCTGCCACTCGAGGTAGTCAGCCAAGAGACTGCGTCATCATCAGCGACTTCCCCACTCTTCCTCACCTACCCTCTCCATGATTTAGTACCAGGATCTGGACATTTCACCAAATGTCTCTCTAATCCACCTACTGTCTCCTCTATTTTAATTTCCACTGCATTCAGGTTTCCATAATTCTTTTTTTAAAGTATTTTGACTGCTTTTTAATTAATCTCTCTGCTTTGGTCCCTCACAAGTGAAATCTATCCTGTTTAATATAATGCCAAGGACACAGAAACACTCTCCAACTTTCTATGACTACTTTTTGCCAGGAAAATGAACTCCAAACTCTTTGGCATGGCATTCGAGACCCTAACTAATCCATTTCCAACCTGTTTTTCCAGTAACTCTCGCCCACACCCTTCTCTTTCTAGAACATGTTATCGTCCACTTTGAGTTTCATGCCCTAGTTGATGGTAGTCCTTCTACCTGCTACGGTTGTTCTTTATTTGTCAAAAGCCTTTACATATTTTGGGCCCATGTGATAAGCCATTTTCTCTGTAATATCTTCTCTATCCCACTTTCTAGACAAAATTAATCCTTCTTTCTCCTGTACTCTTCTGCTATTAAAATTAAACTTAAGTGTTAGAAGTGTTTATCTCCTCCACTGCATTAGACTCAGAGGAAAAAGTCTTACTCATCTTGATTTCACCTATGATTCATACAACACTTGACAGATAAAGGCATTCCCAATAAATAATGAACTGAACAGACCTATTCTTGATTTATGTGACAAATACAGAGAACAACTTTTAAGAATAATCCTCATCTGTATAACATATAAGCTATATTATGCTGATTTTTGTCAGTTATTGTTAGAATCAAGGAAAATCATAATGCTGTGGATAATAATGAAAATGTACCCTAAAGATGAATTATCCATTGTAATCCTTTTGGTTTTAAGTATACCAAACAGTTAAATTTCTCTTTTATAATCACTATGGAAGGAAGCAGGAAGCAGGCAAAAATCTAGTCAAGTACCTGTAAAAATACACGGAAATCAAATATGAGACCGTTACTAGTGCTGGTAAAATATCAAAGTAACAATTATTAAGTCTGTTAAAGTCTTTTGTATACTAAAGAGTTAAAGACATTGTAAAAACTAAAAATAACTCAGTTAAAAGTAAACTTAAGGAAAATCAGACATTTGTTAATAGGTCTGTGCTAAATCACTATCATGAAATATTTTTGTATAACTCTTTAAAAACCCTGTAATAAATACCAATTTAATGAAATTAAACTCTATCTTACTCTATAACTGTAGATCAGGTGTCAGCAAACTATACAGCCCGTGTACCAACTATGGCCCCTCAGCTGGTTTTTTTTGTAAATAAAGGTTTATTGAAACAGCCATACTCATTTGTTTCTGTGTTGCTCCAGTCTGCTTCTGCTCTACAACAGCAAAGTTGAATAGCTGAGACAGAGACTGTATGTCCCACAAAGCCTAAAATATGTACCATCTGGCCCTTTAATGAAAATTGGCCAATTCCTGCTATAAGCAGTTGGAAATCTACTTGAAAATCAAGCAAGTCTGTGTATGTGTGGATTTCTTATTATTATAGAATTTAGAATTTCTATGCAAAGATTTCTTCTCAAAAATAAAAAGAATAAAAAAAGAAAAGTCAAGGACGTTATGACAGGAAATTACAGATGGCAAGTACATAGGAGAGCTGAATGGCATCCATACAGGATTTTTAAACCAAAAATTATTTTATTTTTATACTTTTAATATATGTCTGCCTGATTCTTCTTCATTATCCAGGAAAAGGACTGGCTGCTCTTTATATTTAGAGTATGCCACTGAAAATTAAATTCCTACCACTATTGCTTCACTCAAAAGTAGGAAATTAATTGTTCCTATAGGAATAAAGGAGTAAAATATAATTCTTTTCAAAAATGAGGGGAGAGAAAGGTAGAAAGAGGAAGGAAGAAAAAGGAAGGGGAGGGGAAGGGAGAACCTTACTGTACCTCATTCCCTAATTGATATGAAGCCAATCTGTGTACCAAAGTTAAGACCATCTCGGATATGGGAGAAAAACTTGTCAGGATGGCAAGATGTACAGAGGCTGAGATCTTGGTTCTGGTCCTGAATATTCTGTGGTAGAATTCCTCCTCGTTCTAGAAGAATCCTTAGGATACACGTATTTCAAAAGACAGAAAGAGTTTATTAATAGCCAAAGCAATATGAAAAAAGTATGGATATTGGTATAAAAGAATTCTGGGAAAGATCTGCTTGGAACAATGCAAATTGTTATTCAGTTACAGAACAGGGACTGTCCTGTCGGGAAACGGTACATTTCATCACCATTTATTACCTAAGTTCATATGTGAAGTATACAACCTCCACGTTGCCCTGCAGACAAATCTGTTTTATAATCAAAATCAAGTATGCATTTGAGAAGAAACTTCTATGGTTACCAGGATATTTGGAGACAAGATTCACTTGATTCAGACAGACCATGCTTTGTAGTCATCTGGCTCTCCCATATCTTTGCCTCCTATTAACCAGATTTTTCACAGAAAACTTGCTTCTCCATAAACACTTTATGGCATGAAACATGACTATAAATTAGTGAGTCTTATTCCACAAGTCACGTTTAAGAATCTATTTCAATCCTTTCTAACTTATGTACTAAATGAGGCGGAATCTGGGTAAGGTTGTACTACTGGAATCAAATCAGACATCAATTTTCCTTTGTAGAAATGACAAACAATTTTTAATAACTATTAATAGCAAAACTTCATAAGCTCAAAAATACAAGGGGCCATAAAGAACTCGAAAGTGACTGTGTGTTTATATTATCTAATATTTTTGCTGAAAAATATATTCCTCTATTTAATTAGAGAATAAGAATAATTTTTAAACATTAGCTTCCTGATAGTTTATTATATTTAGGAGAATTCAGCTGAGGAATGGCTGTGAAGTGCCATGTTTATCCCCTACAAAAGTACCAACTTTTCTATATGAAGTTAAAGTAGATCTCTTATAACTAAATGCCAACTGTTTCTTCCTTCACTTGTAAATCAGTAAGAGATACTGGAAGATTTCTGTTATTCAAACTTAAATGAGAAAAGATTTCATATTGAAAATGAGTTTTTGTCTAAGAGTGTATGTCAGCTACTTAAACACCTGCCACCTGAATTTTTCTTTGGAGTTACTGATTGTTCTCTAAAATAATTTTCATTTTAGAAGGGATAAGAAATAACCAAACTTGCAGTTCTGGACTGAAGTCGAACATACCTGGTGGCTTTACGGATGTCAACATGGGGATTTGGTGAGTCAAGTCGCTGTACACATCCAGGATCAAGATTATGAAATGCGTTTGCTGATTCCCTTGGCAGAGTGAAACAGCAAGGTCCTACTGAAGGCCCCAGTACAACAATAATGTCTTCTAAACTACAGCCGTATTCTGCTACCATAGCGTTCACTGTAGCCATAGCAATGCCTAACAGAGTACCTCTCCAACCTGGGGAATATAATAGGAAGCAAAAGAGATAAGCAAAGTTGAAACATCACAAAATTTCACCATAGTTTATATCTAAGTTAAAAATGAGGCAGTTCCTGTATTTTTCAAAACGTGGAAATTGTAAATGAATCACCAAATTAAGCTAAATAATCAATTAAATAATTAAAATACTAGTTTTTAAATGCAGCATTTTATACAAAGCATCTGACACAAGAGAGACATTCCTCTTCCTTTTTAAAATGGTCTATACTTTCAGTTTCCACTGGGATTATATCTTTAGTCTTCTCTCCTTCACTTTTTTTTTGTCACATTTTTAAGAATTGTGGGGAAAAATAAATAACATAAAACTTACCATTTAAACTGTTTTCAAGTGTACATTTCAGTAGTATTAAGCCAATCCACATTACTGTGCAACCAATCTCTAGAATTTTTTCATTTTGCACAACTAAAACCCTATACCCATTAAACAAGAACTCCCCTCTTTCCACCTTTCCCAGTCACTGGCAACCACCATTCATCTTTCTGTACCTATGAATTTGACTACTTTAGGCACCTCGTGTAAGTAGAATCATTCAGTATTTGTCTTTTCGCAACTGGCTTATTTCACTTGCATAATGTCCTCAAGATTCTTTCATGTTGTCGCTTGTCTCAGGATTTCCTTCCTCATTAAGGCTGAATATTATTCCATTGTATATATTTTGCTTATCTATTCAGTCATTGGTGGACATGTGGGTTGCTTCTACCTCTTAGCTATCATGAATAATTCTGCTATGAGCATAGTGTGCAAATGTCAAAATCTTGCTTTCAATTCTTTTGCATATATACTCAAGAAGTGGAATTACTGGGTAATAAGATAATTCTACTTAAAAATTTTTCAAGAACCATCATATTGTTTTCCATGGCAACTGAACCATTTTATACTCCCGCCAATAGTGCAGCATGGATCCAATTTCTCCCCAGCCTCACCAATATGTATTTTCAAAAAAATTTTTAATATTAGCCATCGCTATGGGTGTGAGTTGATATCTCATTGTGGTTTTGATCGGCATTTCCCACATTATTAGAGATGTTGGGCAACTTTTCACATGCTTATTGGCCGTTTGCATATCATCTTTGGAGAAGGGTCTACTGAAGTCCTTTACCTGTTTTTTTATCAAGTTGTCTTTTATGGTTGTTGCTGAGTTGTAGGAGTTCTTTATACACTCTGAATATTAACCCCTTATTAGATATATTAATTGCAAATATTTTCTCTCATCCTGTGGGTTGACCTTTCACTTTGTTGATTGTGTCCTTTGATGCACATAAGTTTTTCATTTTGATGGAATCCAGTTTATCTACTTATACTTTTGTTGCTTGTGCTTTTGGTGTCATATCTAAGAAACCATTGTCTAATCAAGATCACGAGGATTTACACGTATGTTTTCTTCTACGCATTTTATTTTAGCTCTTACATTTGGATCTTTGATCCATTTTAAGTTTTATATATGATGTAAGATGAGGATGCAACATTATTCTTTTGCATATGACTATCCAGTTTTCCCAGCACCATTTGCTAAAGAGACTGTCCTTTCTCCATTGTACAGTCTAGGTACTTTGTCAAAAATCATTAGGCTACATATGTAAAGGGTTATTTCTGGGCTGTATATTCAATTCCACTGGTCTATGTGTCTGTCTCTTTGGCAGTACCATGTATACTGATTTGATTACTATAGCTTTATAACAAGTTTTGAAATCAAAAAGTGTGAGACATCTAATGTTGTTCTTTTGCAAGACTTTCATTTATCTTTTAAACGTAATGTTTCAAAACCTAGGAAGTAACAAATTACAAATAATACTCCCGTTTTATGTCCAATAACTGAGACTCAAATTTTAAATAACTTTTGACAATGTCAAATATTAACCATGACTTGTAGTTATCCAACTTCATTACTCTAGCTAGATCAAAAGAAAACACGCCATTTTCTTATTTATCTGTCATCTAAAAAGCAAAGTAGTCATAGATTTACAAGCAGAAGAAAATCCAAAAGATCATTCCTCATTTTACGTAGAATCCTAACCACTGGATAATCTAAATAGTATTTTTAAAAACCTGCAGAAACCAAATTCCGTAACCTAACACAACATAGCACCTAAAAATTCTTCTTTGTTCTTATCTTTAGAGAGTAAAGTCACTAGCCTACAGCATATCAAACTAAATGCAATTTTTCAAACATATCTTGCTTTTTCTTACCTCCATACCTTTGCACATGCTTCTGCATCATCAAGAACACCCTCCTGTGACATATCTCATGTCTCACCTTCCTATTCCCTATGGCCTAGCCCTCAAGGGTTCTCAACTAGAGGCAGTACAACCCCCTGGGAGTGTTTTGAAAAGCATGGAGGCTCTTTTTTTTTTAATTTGTGGTTATTACAACACCTGGGAGTGCTATTGGCATTAAGAATTTCAAAAGCCAAGCAAACTTTGTCTGCAATGTAAACTATCTTGCCCCAAATGTTAACAGCACCCTTGTCCCAGAAACACTGATACCTAGCTAAATCCTACAAATATCCCCCAAATCAGCCCAGGTACTGCTTCTTTGGGAATTATACTCTGAGTCACATAATTTGACTTAGGCATTCCTTTTACCTGCTCCTATCATAAGTGTGCCAGCTCTACCCTGTCTTACACTTAGCACCATGTGAAGTAATGAACTATTTGTAATGTCCATCGGAAAGAAATAACACCTTTTCCTGTGCTAAAAATTTGATCAAACCCTAGAAGCTTTAATTAAGTCCACTTACCAGAGTGAGCAACCCCACATGCTTTTTTGACAGGATCTGCAAAAACTATCGGTATACAGTCAGCACCAAGCGCCGCTATTGTGACTCCTCTTTGATTTGTGGTGATTCCATCGTAAGATTTAGGCTCCTTCCTCCCCATAATCCAGACATCATTGGCATGATCAGTCTAATCCCAAAGATGTGAGATAAAAATGTTTTGAAAATAAAAATTTCTCATGCCATGAGTTTTTCTGAAGGTACAATTTTGTACAAAATTACATAACCAATTTAAGATTACTAGCATTCATTAAATATATCACTTCCATAGGTATATGATAAGATAACAAATTTACTTATTTATCTCTGGTATGCTAATGTCTGCATGTTTTATTCAAAGCAGACTTTAACATTTAAAAATTCAAAATAGACCATCCATCATGAACACCTCCCACTAGAGATGGGTAAATCTCTACTTGTAGTAATTTCCACAAAGTACCAATTTATTGAAAGAAATTACATTACCAAATCAATGATAGTTTTACTTCTCCTGGAGTCAAGTAAAGCTGGAATTCTATAGGAAACAATTATCTCACCAACTGTACCCTAGTTCCTCTTAGTGTTGATTTAGAAAATAATGGCCTTTCTCTCCTACCATTCAGGGAGTTTCATTCTAAATCAAAAAGGGTAGTGGTACTATACTCTGAGAATTAACTGTCCTTTTAGAGGTGAGGAGCTCCAAGTGAAATATGTAGAACTGATCTTTAGGCTACAATGTATAGCTCTAAGAAAAACAATCACAAGCATTATCCTAAATTTTAGATAAACACCAGGTGCAAAAGTTAAATAGCTTATTTAAAGTCCATGCAGTCATTAGCAGAGTCCAAAATACACTTTAGAGCTTCCAAAATAAGAAACAAAATTTTACTTTTATTCGGTAAAATTTCTTCGCATTAAATCCTGCAGCATTCCCCAGCCTACGCAGATTTTCTTGAACAACGACCTTGGGATCTCTTCGTTTGGAACTACTGAAGAGATTGAATGAGCTAAGAGTTGGTATGTAAGATATTCCACCTGCTCTTGTAGTAAATCCGTGTATGAAAATATCTGTTGAAGATAAGTATTGAAGATTAAAAACATGCTATACAAAAGCTATAGAGCATTACAAACCCAGTCGCTCATTAAGACTTTCCCTGATCACTTCAACCTGCATTAGTTATATGACTTCTCATTTCTATAGCACTTTATACCTCCATCTATTCTTACTGCATACTGCTTTGAGTTAGTTTTACCTTCCCTGTGGGATTATTGCTCTTCAAAGGGTACCTTTCGTCCCATTTGTCTTTGTTATAACCAACAGCATATAAACCACAGTAGATATCCCTTATCCAAGAAGTAAGATTGACTGCTTTAAATTTCACTCCTCTGTAAAGGCACCAGCGAGTTAAGGTTTCAGAATTTCTAAGTAGGAGATGCTTAGGGTCATAAATCTCATTTAAAAGGAAGGCTAGGGGATTTGTCTTAAAGCTGAATTTGCATAAAGTGAATTTATTTACTTAGGGTGGCTTTGAAGGGACTATCCCTTGACACCCCTGACACTACAAGGCCATCCATGACACTCCCATGTTGTAACTGATGCTAATGAGCATAAGCTCACAACAGTCTACCAAAAAAAGAAGGGAAAAGAGGTGAACTACCTGTAAAAAAAGACTGGCTTTTCACATCTACAGGAAAAACAGATAGTGTTTAGCATACCTGAGATCAAAGGAGATGTGATAATGGTTAATTCTCCTTTCAGGGCTGGCAAACTTCTCAAATATGTTTCTATTTCATTCCGGATTGCTTCTTGTTCTTGAGCTGTGATTGTGTTCGTTTCAGTAGATTGTTTCAAAAGACCTCCCCTCAAAGTCATCTGTAAGTCTTCAAACTCAAAATTGTAAACATCAGTGAAGAGTTGATCAATAAATGCCTTCATTATTGTCTTCCGGTACGCAGGCACAATTACCTTAATGCTGCTCAAATTTTTTTCATCAATTTTTTGTTTAATGGTATACAAAGAGGCAGCCATGTTGGGATTGCTAACAGTCTCAAATTCTCTCAAGAGAGTTGATAATCCATTGCTTGTTTCTAATTCACAATTATCATGGTCACAACTGATGTTACTGCAACACATTATGCAAAGGAACTTGGCCTTGGCACTGTGGTGGTTTCTGATGGAATTCAATGTCTTTAGTAATGTCTGATGACAGTTTTTCTGAGAGTTCAGTTTCAAGCCAAAGAGATCAATCAACACTGCTTCTGCCATCCTTCAATACTGTACAAAATTCTTTAAAATAGATTTCTGTGTCCCCTAAAACTCACCTGAAAAGAAAAATTAGCTTAAGTAGGAATACAAAATTATATCAATCTCTATATAGTTATAACAGAAATTTACGGATGGATAAAAAGAAGAGTTGCATTGATTTTAGAATGTAACCAAAGTAATGAATCTAGACTCCTCCCAGAAAAGCCAGTCCACTATTTGTCATGAGAACAATGACAATGAAAGCAAAGCCATCTCTTAATTCATTTTGTGAAAGTACTTTACATCTTTTCCGCATAAGAAGAGTTTTTGTTTTGTTTTTTCAGATAGCAAATTTTAAGCAGGGAATTGCTTGTTGACTTAACCAAGTCCTGTTTTTTAATTACAGGGTGTCAACTTATTGATATGTCATTATCCTGAGGTGACTGGCATGTTAGATCACATCCCTTCATATGAAATATCTAGGCCCTAAGTTCAGTGGGTTAAAAGGAGCTGCATTTAAAAATTGCAGGGTTGTTTTTGTTTTCAGAAACAGACTCAGATATAGAGAACAAACTAGTGGTTAAAGAGAAAGAAGGGGTTAAGAGGTACCAACTAACACGTGTAAAATAAGTAAGATACAGAATATATAGTATAGCACAGGGAATACTGCCAATATTTTATAATAACTTTAAATGGAGTATAACCTATAAAATACTGAATCACTGTATTGTACACTGGAAACGAATATACTATTGGCAATCAACTATTTGTCAGCTTTTTTTTAAATTGCTTTCTTAGGAGAGAATAGCAGAGATGACTGATACATTTCCCCCCAATATTCACACTCAGGTACGGCAGTTATCACAAAAGCAACTGCGATGCGGATCAGGAGTGCATCCTACCTACTCTCCTATTCACTGCCCCTGAGTAGGTTTTCTCACCCCCAGCACTGCCCTCCCACCCCAGGCTGCCAGTCTCTCTGGTGACCATCCCCCACCCCCGTTGCCAGGACGGTTTTCTCCTGCCGCCACTCCTAACCCCCTCCCTCTGCACTGTGAAAAGCCACACAGCGCCTGTCACCGCCAGGTCCGCGCTCGGCCCCCGCTGGGGGAGGGGGCGCCGATCCCCCACCTGTTCGGACACCTGCACCGGCTCCTCCCGCCCCTTCGGGACTTTTTGACCGTCGGACGCGCACCCGAGGCTGTTCTTCGTCCCCGCCTTGCCGCAGGTCACTTTTGGTTGCGCACTCTGC